ACTCATACACATGAAAATCTTCTTAATTATATTCCAGATGTTTGTGAAAGATATCCAAATTTGACTGTCGATTCCAATCAACCTACACGTAATACACTTCATGCTTATTTACCATTATAATTTTTTCACAATCCGACTTAATTTTTATATCTTTGAAATCTTTTTTTATTATTAATAATAAAAAATAAAAAAGTTAATGAGTTCAGAAACTAAAACAAAAATAGGTAATAGCAATTGATCTTGTCACAATGATTCTAATGATTTTTATTTCAAAAATCTGCAGTAATGTAGATTCTAAACTTGTCAATATGAAGTATGTGAAGATTCAAACTATAAAAAAAAATCAGTAAATTCTAGACATACAAAAACTATCATCCTTTATCAAATGAATAAAGAAATGACAAGATCATTCCTACTAGATTATATGATAAACCCTGTAATTAAATACAGAATCAATATTTTGTTTACTATACAAAATTTCTTGAAAGTATTTTTACGGTTTTCCGTATGATAAATTTATGATAGCTGAAATATATATTTGTAGATTTTTGAAATACTTTTAAAAATTTCATCTTAAACTTTTCAATCGTTTTGTTTTCCGAAAATTATAGATAAATTCATGTATACTCATTTTTACATTAAATATTCATAAATGATGAAGTTCACTATATTTCGACAGAAAAAATTGTAAACATGAGTCAATGGCACCTGCATGTATACTAATAGCTGTACTTGGCAGCAAACTACGTGTATCGCGCGCGATCAGTCTGTACTCTCTAAGGAGTAAATATGCTCGTACACTTATGTGGTCGCCCTACGCGACATCGGTTTGATCATGTTAACATTTACACAATTTGTTGAAATTGAAAATTGAAAAATCAAATTCATTTTAATGTCATACAGTAGTTAACATTTGTGTCCTTTTCGTGTTCAACCAAAAATGACACCCAATCAGAAATCAAATTATGAGAAAATCCCAATAACTGATTAAAAGCTTTTGGACTCATATACTGTTCACAAGTATGACTTGGGAGGGACTAGAAGAATTCCGAAAGGGTTGATAGGATTCTCTCGTCAAAAAAAATCAGACATTAATTTTTTATATGATTACAAGTCTATAGTGACAATACTACGGTCTGTGAAGAATCTTATAAAGTCTATCGTAAGAAGAATGATACTCTGTCATTTTTTTAGTAAATTGACCAAAACTCTCTATTGTTACATCATTACCATCCGTGAAGTACTGTGTATTTACAAAAATTATTCGATATTTGTAGAAAGAAAACTTGCCATCGAAAAAAAATAAGATTTTTACTTCGTCAGATATTGTTTTTGAATTCTGTTAAAGTTTACTTCCTTGTAGCTCAATAATAAAAATTCTAAATATATATTCTGAAAGAATACAAAATTCTCAGTCAAATACATCACTTTTTACGTGTTTCCAATACATTTAAATATGCAAAATAATAACTATCAATTTATATTTTCTTTTTTTACATTATTAATTAATTAATATTTATTTAGTTTTTAGTTGAATTGAAGTAATTTCGATCAGTGGCGGCGGAGCCATTAGGCTTGGGGAGGCTCAAGCCTCCCCTAAAAACAGGCAGGGGAGGCTTGAGGAGGCTTATATTTTGGAAAAAACTCACAAATCTTATCATGAGTTTATATTTAGTACGCGAAAGTTCTTTGAACCATAGTACATTCAGTTTCATGCTAGATAGCACAATAAGCGGCAAACCAGTTGCGCTTAAGAAAGCTCAAGTCTCACCTAAAAATCAAAAGCAACATCTGAGAGAGATCCGATATTTGAGAAAATTTTAGGAATGTCATTCCGAATTTGAGAATGAATGTCACAAAATGTTATCAACATAGCTTATATTGCATGTATCTTCGCATGAACAAATGCTAAAATCTTGAATTTTTTTCAAAAATACGTTGCCGATAGTGTCCAAAATAACTATCAAAAACTCCTGCTAGTTTACTGCATGAAATAGAGTCTATGGGCTTTTTTATTTCAAACTGAATTCTAAAATCAAAAAAACCACACCAATTTCTTCCGAATCAAACTTTTCTCGTTTGATACTACGTAGTCTCACTAAAAACCCTTAGTCCCCCCCTAGTCCTGCAAAGTCCCCCTTAGTCCCCGCTTAGTCCCCTGTGCAGGGGACTAAAGTCTATAGTACACAAAGCCACAAGCACACCCTCACCCTCACTCGCGCGCCCACACCCGCACCATGGGTGTGGGTGTGTGTGTGGGTCCCAGACCAACACCCACACCCTCAGTCACTCCCCCCCCCTCCCCACTCCTAGACTCACGTTTCAGTTTGAAATCAAGTATTATTTTTATTTGATAAATTCAGACTGAAATTAAATAGCCCATTGTATGATGAAATAATACCTATTTTACATCTAACATGCGGTGCAAAAGCAATGGAAAAAATGTCGAAGTCTATGAGATCATATTGCCGACTATGAGATCAATAAATTTTTTTTTATTAGAAAGACGAATGTCTGAACTACAACTTTTGTACCGTACATATTTTTTCAGAATGTCTCTGAGAAGGAGGAAAAGCCAAAAACTGGATGTCTCTAAAACAGTACTTGCAACTTCATCTATTAGCAGCATCATTTTTTATTTTCTTTGAATATTTATTACATCGGAAGCGGATATACAAATCACGTTTAATGATGATTTTTGTAGCAAAAAGAATGCTCTTTTCAGTGGTATATTGCATGTCAAATTTATCTTTGGTTTTCATATCAAAGTATTGATTTTTCTGAAAGAAACTGCATGATTTGCTTGTGCTCACTACCTGACCGTTCTGCAGAGGTAAAAAAATGTTTTTTTGAATTATTTTTTTCTGCTAAGTTTTCATGATCTCATATATTTCACACAAATAACGCAAAAAGAATTGAATTTATGTGTGATTTCTATAGATGATGGCTGATATTCTTGCAAACTGATAATTCTTGTGAACGCCTTTATTTTACAAAAATTTCATTTTTCAAACCTTTCTCACTAAAGAGTCAATATGGACATAAAATAGTTTACTCAAGGTGGTATTGATAGTGTTTTTAATGCATTCCATTTTGGTGTATTTTAGATTAAAAGTTGGTCTATGTAGCTCAAAATAATCAAGTAATACTGATTTTTCAAATTACAAAAACATTGCAAGCACTTTTATAGAGATGTCCATTTTTTGGCTTTTCCTCCTTCTCAGAGCCGTTCTGAAGAAATATGCGCGGTACAAAAATTGCAGTTCAGACATTGCTCTTTCCAACAAAAAAAAAAAATTATTGATCTAGAAGTTGATAATATGGTCTAATAGATTTCGACATGTTTTCCATTTCTTTTGCACCGCATGGGATTTTCGCCAGAAAATGATAAAAATATGAATCTCTTTTAAAGATGTGTGATTACACTGTCCACAATATTCATAGTAAAAGATTTTCCTGATTTATTGTAATCAATTTGGAGAGGAGGAAGAAAGTAATGCTGTACGGCGCTGTGTAATTTTTCACGATAACAGTAAACTGAACGCTACAAAAAAGCATAATTCTTATCAAAATCAAGTTTAATGCATTAAAACACACTACTAAATGCAATGATAATACCAAAATTATATGTTTCTTGTTTGAAGATCGCCTTAAAGAATTAAAATTGAACAGTTAGGTAATTAGTTGTTTAAATAGTAAAACAAATTTATTTCAGAAAAGTGAAAAATATAGTATCTTGCCCGCCTTTGCTTTTAGTTCTGTCAAAACCAATTAAGACAATTCAAGAGAACATTTTGCATCTTTTAAAACAGATTCAAGTTTTCAGGGTTTTTATGTGAGAAAATAAGTATGACAAATATTATTATTATTATTTTCAGTATGATATGACATAGCAATGTTTTATATATCCTATCTTTCACTATTCTAAGAACTCATTACAACAGGTCGGCAAGACATTGTGATGCATTGGTGTAGAGAATTCAACAACAGCTATGATTCATTTTTTCGAAACTTTTCTGTAAGTTCCTGTACTTATGTACTACTTTCATCGTCAACTGAACGAAATTGAGGCAAGCACGAGCATCTGACCGAAGATGAAAGTAGACAAGTCTTCAGATGAAGAACAGCTGAAGATGAAAGCTTTTTCTTCCAAATCATGAGTTTTTTAATAGAGTTATATTATGTTCTATGCTATGAAGCAGAGAAATTTTGTGATTAAAATGAATTCTATAAATACCACAGAAATAAATCACGAAAGATTCTCAACTTCCATAAAACATCTTTCCACAACATTCCAAGATTATATCAGTCACCTATAGAAGGATATATGCAAAATAAACTCTATTGAAAAAACATCGAGATATCCGATATCTCTTTGATAAGAGTTACAGTTGAAAAGCCAGAAAATACCTCCTTCTCGTACATCATCTTCCTATCACCGCCTGAGAAGTTTTGAGCCTCTCCTAGATTAGAATCGTTCCGCCGCCTCTGATTTCGATATTACATATGAAAAAAAAAAAACGTAGTATTATATAAAATATGAGATGCACATGATTGCATACATGCGTACTTTTTCATTTATTACTGTTTACGAAGCAATTACGAACGTTAGTTAGTCGTTTAACCTTAAAAAAACAAATTTGATTCATAGACTGTTATTGTCAATAACATAAGAGCAAAAATGTTGTACCCTTGATCTACTTGAATATTTCGTAAAATTATAATGCGAAATAAAAATGAATAATTTCTTTTTTTTTTTTTTTTTGATTGATAACATTGGTCATATGATCAAACATTTTTCCTTATTTATAACCTCGAGAAAAATCATGTTGGATACGGTTGAGAAGGTGTGTCTCGCATTTATACATGTGTATATATCTTGCTGTACAGTTATTTGTCATACAGTTTTTTTTTGATATTTCGTATATCGTAATTTTACAGTTTCATAAATTATTATCAATCATTGACAGAAATTAAACGAATATTTAAGAAAAAAAGAAATGGTATTTCGTATTCCTGTAACAATTCATAGTATACCAGAAAAATTTCTTATTGTATGTGAAACTGGTCATGAAACTATACAATGGCTATGTGAAAAAGCTTATAAAATATATACTGAAAAATATCATGATAAAACAGTACCTTATTATTTTGTGGCTCGACGTTCATATGATCGATGTTTATTATCACTTGATGATCATATTGAACATGTATTAAAAGATAATGAATCAATAGAAATTGGTAAGATTTATATTAGTTTTGTTATTACTAATGAATGTTCGGTTTTTTTCTTTTTTGTCTTTATCTAGATATAGCTAAACAATTTGATGATGATGATTCACTTAGTACAGCAACGTAAGTTTTGTTTTTTTATCTAAATGTTGACATTTTTTTAAAAATTTTTTCTACTAAATATAGAGATGAAGAACGTCATGTACGTATTGTTTTTTTTTTTAATAATAAATAAAAATTTTTTGAAAAAAAAACATGAGAAATTATTCATATAGGTTGTTCTACTCGATGGATATCATTTAAAATGCAGTGATTTAGTTCGACTCGGTACTGGTGATTATCAAATTGAAGTAAATCTTACATTGAAATATATACAAAGAATCAGATCTAAATTTAACTTCATTCATTCTGAGAGAAAAATCTTAAAATTTAATAAATTCATAGTTCAAAGGTTTTGCTTATTCAGATGAAGTCGTGTTCAACAATATGTTGTTCATGAGTTGTAGTTATTTTACTAAAATGACAATCGAATACAATATTCGAGTTAAAAAAAAAATAAGAGTTTTTTTTTTTCTTGTTATGAAAATTAATAAGATAAATTTAGATTTAATTTCAAATATGAAATTCATATAGTAATTTTTCTATTCAATTAGTTACCAGATGAAACATGGAATTTAATTCATAAAGCACGAGAAATTGTTGATCATATTATTACTAATAAAAAAGGTTAATTAATTATTTTATTTTAAATATTAACGAAATAATTTTTATTTGATAGTTGTTTATGGTGTAAATACAGGTTTTGGTTCATTTGCATCAACAATTATTTCTGATGAAAAACTTGCGTAAAATCTTTATTTATTTATTAATATTATTATCAATAAATAAATATATATATATATAGTGATTTACAAACACGATTAATTGTTTCACATTGTGCTGGTGTTGGTGAACCATTAACAATTGAACGAGCTCGAATGATGTTTGCATTACGTATTAATATTCTTGCAAAAGGATATTCAGGCATATCAGAAGATACATTACATAAAATTATAACTGCATTTAATAGTAAAATTTATAATATATTTAATTTTAAATATAAATTTAATATTTAATATTTTATTTAGAATCTTGTATTCCTGAAATTCCATCACAAGGCACTGTAGGAGCTTCTGGTGATTTAGCACCATTAGCACATTTAGCTGCTGGTATTTAAGTTACAAGAAAAAGAATGATGTGTTTTTTTGAAAAAAACATATTTATTTTTGATTAGGTTTAATGGGTGTTGGACGTATGTGGTCACCAAAAACAGGTTGGGGCAATGCAAATGATGTTTTAGCACAGAATGGATTAGATTTAATTGAATATAAACCAAAAGAAGTAAGAAAAATTAATTTTTTTTTAATCTTTTATTATTATATTTATAGGGTTTAACAATGATCAATGGAACACAATTTATTACAGCACTTGGAGCTGAAGGTAAAGATTGATTTTTTGTTTTTTTGTTTTTCTTATAATTAAATTCTTTTAATTTATTTAGCTGTTGAACGAGCTATATTAATTGCTCGTCAAGCAGATATAATTGCAGCTTTAAGTACAGAAGCATTACGTGGTACAGTTCGACATTTACATCCAAGTAAATATTTTCTAATAAAAAATATTCAATAAATTTTGAACTTCAATAAAAATTAGTTTTCATATAAACAATGAATGATTCCTGTTTAAAATTTATCTATAGTTTCACAGTAGATAAATCTTATGACATAGAACAAAATTTGTCATAGATTCAAAATTCTCAAATACTTCCTTTAGAGAGATATGAGGAGGAGGGGGGTACAAAACTCTATAGAAAACCCTAGCTCTTATTTATTTGACAGTTCGAAATTATATTAGCATTTTATTTTTTATAATAATGATACAGACAGAATTTAATGAACAAATGCATCGCATATAATCTAACATAATTATTCAACGTGACATACAGTATCTAGGGTAAATATGTGTGACTATCCTAATTACGACGTATTTTTTCTTTCAAAAGAGATAATATCATATAAAAATATTGTCCTAAGTATTCAAAGTTTATATTGATACAATTGATTAGTGATAACTAGAGAGCTGCGGATCCTTCCAGACCCGGACCCGGGTCCGGCTCTGAAAATTTAGCTTTTCCCGGGCCCAGGTCCAGGTCCAGGTCTAAACCTAAGAGAAAAGTAAGACCCGGTCTGCATTAAGTTATGAATGGAAATATATAACAATAACAATTGAAGTCAACAAAATTGAAAAAGAAACAGTCAGAAATAATTTTACACTCATTTTACCTTTAAAGTCGCCAATAAAGAGCTAAAATTGTGTTCCCTTTTCTGTTCATGTACACATAGGGTGCCAAATATTGATGAAAAAAGGATCGGGTCTAGACCCGGCCGGGTTCGGGTTTAGACTCAGCCGGGTCCGGGTCTGAAAATTTAGTTTTTCTGGGGCCCGGGTTCAGGTCCGGGTCCAAAAAAACATGGACCCGCAGCTCTCTAGTGATAACTCTTTGTTTATATGTATATAAATTAATTTTTATTGAGATTCATAATTTTATGATTATTTTTAATTTTTTTTTGTTTAAATCAGATCTTCATGCATCTCGACCTCATGTTGGACAAAATCTTGTTGCAGAAAGATTACGTGCATTATTATCATCTCCATTATATCCATCAGCAATATCAGAAAGTCATGCTAATTGTGGTCGAGTACAAGATGCTTATTCAATTCGATGTGTTCCACAAGTTTGTTTTATTATTATTGTTTTTTTTTTTTCATATCTAAATAAATTCTTCTATAATTCATATTGTATAGATTCATGGTATATCATGGGATACAATAAAATTTGTTAAAAAAATTATAACAACTGAAATGAATAGTGCAACAGATAATCCACTTGTATTTACAGAAACTGATGAAGTTGTTTCAGGTGGTAATTTTCATGGAGAATATCCAGCTAAAGTAAAATTATTATTTTATATATTTTCTTATGTTATATTTCTAATATGTAAAAATGTTTTTTTTTTTTTTTATAGGCTTTGGATTATTTAGCAATTGGTGTACATGAAATAGGTAGTTTAAGTGCATGTCGTATGGAACGACTTGTTAATCATGGTATGAGTGGTTTACCAGCTTTTTTAACACTTGAAGGTGGTTTAAATTCTGGTTTTATGATTGCACATTGTACAGCTGCAGCACTTGGTAAAAAAAAGAAGTTTTTCTTTTGAAATTAAAAAACATTTATTTATTTTAAATTAAATTTAGTTTCGGAAGATAAAGTTTTATGTCATCCATCATCAGTTGATAGTATTTCAACAAGTGCTGGTCAAGAAGATCATGTTTCAATGGGTGGATGGTCAGCTCGAAAAGCATTGAAAGTTATTGATAATGTTGAAATTAGTAAATTATTAAAAAAAAAGATTACTTTAATATTTATTAAAAAAAAAATTATATTTATTTATAGTTCTAGCAATTGAATTATTGATGGCTTGTCAAGCTATTGATTTATTATATCCATTAACATCTACTCCTCCATTACAAGCTATTCATACTTTAGTACGACAATCAATTGCGTATGTATTTCTTTTTTTTTTAATGATATATGCTAATAAGTTTGTTAGTATAATTTCTTCGGGAGTCTATATAATATGTAACTCATAGATGTTCTTTAATCTTATTATAACTAATAGAAAAATTGTTCGTGCAATTCTCATGAGAATAAAATATGAAACATGATATAACTGCACTTGTTAATCACAGACAGATTTCTATTCTATTCATTTTTCATTATTAATATATAATCTGTAATAAGTTAATTTTAATATGTTAGAATATATTTTATTCAATGGCAAAACATATTTTTCTACTGATTGAATCTTCTAGCTAATGACTATTTTTCTGGTGATATCTTTAATAAATAATTAAACGACAACAGTCGATGTGACTAATATAGTGACAGTATGAATACGCCTGTATTTAGATGAAGGTGCATAATTTCGATTGAAATCTAACATATTCTAAGAGTTTGAAAGGATACATGAATTCAAATGCAAAAATTAAGCAGAGAAACCACGGTTCGAATTATTATTCCTAGACTTCAACACTCCTTTTAGATCGTATTTCATAAAATATGTCTAGTTAAAAAAATCTTTAGATTTTCAAGAATAACCAACTGTCAGGACAATTATCTGTACGATTTATTTCTGTATATTTCATAGAAATTATTTTCTCTTTTTCATTGGTATGCTAATTTTTGTTTGCCTTGTTTCTATTCACTCGTTTATTTTCCTATTCCATTCGGTGTTTTTAATTTAACATTATTATTAATTTAATTTTGCCTGTTGTACATCTCAACATACTATAAGTTCAGAACTATGCGTTTTGATTTTTTTTTCCCCTCAATTTTACAATTTTTATGTTCATTATAATGACAATTGTGACAAATCAATACATCATCCTTGAAATCTTAAAAATATAAATCGATGAAGTATTTAGAACATTCTCGAGCAGTCTAAGATGTCTGATATCTTTAGTTATAATGAAGATGTATCTATTGATTTTTGATCTTTCTCTCTCCTTGATTTCATTTCTATGAGCAAGAAAGCTGCAAAAAAAAAACATCGATTTTAAAACTTTTACTTAATATATTTTTCTATTTAAGTACTTGGGATAAAGATCGATTTATGTCTCATGATATTGAAACAGCTACACGTATTGTTAAATCTGGTGTTGTAAGTATATGAATTAATTCATAGATGAAAATCTATTATTTTTTTTTTGAATAATTTTAGATTTGGAAAACAGCACAACCTTATATTCAAAATTATCATAATTATTATTATGTAGAACATCATGGAGAACCATTACCAAAAGCTGAAATATTGGTAAAAAAGCATACTCATTGAACAATTGTATTATTTAGCTTTTTTTTTCTATACTCCGGAAAAAAAAATGTCAATCAAAAAAATAAATTTAATAAACTCATTTATATTGTATTTTTTTTTTTTTTTGTATTTGAAAATTATCTTTTCATAAAAAATTATTATTGAATTGATTACTTTAATAACATTATGGAAATATTCATTTGTTCTTTCATGTAATAATACTTCAAATGTTCTTATTCTAAGAAGAAGAAAAAAAAAAACGATAAGAAAATACTAAAAAAAAAAAAAGATGAAATTGATATATGTTTTTATTCTTCAATTAGAAATAATAATGATTATGATGATTTATGCGAAAAATTATAGTGCATCTGAATTAAATCGATTACGTATTACAAAACGTTATCGAAATCATTTATTAATAAGATCATCAATGAAAAATATTACTCAAACAATAGTTTCTATTGGTTTAGGAATTATTGAAATAGAAGGAATTAATCCACATCAACAGGTTAGTAAATATAAGAAAATATTTATTCAATATACATTCTAATTTTTATATCTCTTTTTGAGGGTATATAATACAGCTAAATTTTCAAACACTACGGTCATGATGCCCTATTCTATCGAATGAAGAAGTGTGTGTTCTATATTTGATCTATATTTTCTTTTTTCATACATTTTCCATAACTCATACTGTCACTAATGATACTTGATACATATTGAGAATAAGCATGTATATTGGGGGGTTGTCTTACACTCACATCTAACTATCGAAAGCTATTCAAGTTATATTTAGAAATCGTATAAAATTATTAAGATTTTATTTATATTTCATAGAAAATTTTCTATCATATATAACAGAAAACAAGATAAAGAAAAAATACAATTAGATGATACCGAAATATTATAATAAGTTAAGTTAGAAGAAGATAATAATATCTTCTAATTGAGTTGATTTGATTGAATAAATCTTGATTAACGAATTATAATAGTTTATCAGAGAAGATAAAAGAGTTTTGATAGAATTTGTTATGTTGCCTCGCGGAGATGATAGATTTCGGCAATTACAAAAAAAAACAAAAATTGAAACCATTAAATCATCAGATCGATTAAAAAAAATTCTTAAATCTATATCAAGAAATCTTCTGTATTTCATTCTTGAAATTAAAATTTGAAATAAATTTACTAAGCTCTACTCATACTGTTCTTTTTTATTTTTTGTTGTTGTTGTTGTACAGGTTATTACACTTAATGTTAATTTTGAATTAAAATGGTGTGATGATCGTTTACTTTGGAATACAAGTGAACAATTATGTTTAAGTAAACGAAATCGTTCGGCAATATTTTTTACTGCAAATGAAATATGGACACCAGATATTGTTGCAATAAATGGACCAGGCAAAACAGAAAAAGAAGTTAAATATCAATATCCTATTTTAGCTCTATGTAGTGGTATTGTTCGATGGTCATATCAAGATAAACTTGTATCATATTGTGAAATAAATGTTCAAAATTTTCCATTTGATAAACAATATTGTACAATACTTCTTCAATCAACAATATATGATTCAAATGAATTAAAATTACGTAGTTTATATAAAGTAGTACAATTATATAATTTTATAAATACAGAATGGAAAATAATACATGCAACAATTGAAGAACTTGATTTATATAATCCATATTATGAACGTTATTTTAGTACAATTAAAATAAATATTGAACTTGTACGTCTTTCACGTTTTTATGTTGGAAAAATAATTTTTCCTTTTTCTATTATATCATCACTTGGATTATTTTCATTTTGTTTACCAACAGATAGTAATGAAAAAATAACACTTACAGTTAGTGTTTTATTATCATTAACTATTTATTTACAACTTATATCAGATTATGTACCAAAAAATGAACGTGGACTTTGTACATTAACATTATATTCAAATATAATATTTTCATTAGTTTTTTTATCTTGTCTATTTAATATATTAACAATATTTATTTATTATTATGAAGAATATTTTTTAAGAAATAAAATATCAAAAAAAACATTTTTATTTACTATACATCAATCATTAATAGAATTAAATAAAAAACGTCAAATATTATTTAAAAAATGTCGAAATAATCAAAAATATTTATCAAAACATATTGATATTAATGCACTTGAAATATTACATGATATAAAATATATACGTGAATTATTAAAAAATTTACTTATACGAGAAAATTTTGTTGATTATCGTCATAATTTATTTTATCCACAACGATCAATTAAACAACTTGCTGTATTTGTTGATAGAATTTTATTTTTTATTTATCTTATTTCAATGCCATTAACTTTAATTATATTATTTAAAGCAAATAGTCAATCAAATATATTACCAACAACAAAAAATCAATTACTTGATCTACGTAAAATATCTATTGATCCAGCACCCGTTTATCGTGGATGTCCAACCTAATGAAATGAACCTTTTTTTTGTTTGTGGAACTCATTTATAGTTTTGAAGAAACTAACAGATGTAAGTTTAAACCGAAGTTTTGCACTTTTCTCCTTTCCGAAGTTCTGATGATCTGAAAGAGATGGTAGGAGAAAAGCTTAAGATCATTGGAGAGATTTTCATATCAAAAGAATATTTGCTACTTTCTGTGACATGTGTCCTATGTTTAATGAAACTAGAACGAGAAATGTTCATCCAATAGTTTCTACTGTAAATGGACTTTTGAAAGCTACAATGCTTGTTATACTTGTATGAATACAAATTTTTTATTTAATCTTAATGTTCTATATTCTTTTCTCGCGGCGATAAAATAATTGATGTATAGCTCGAGATAAAAAACAAAAAATAGTACCTACCATTGAGATTAATATAAACCTCGAGCAAATCATGACTTCTACAGATTTTTATCTCTAAATGGATACATATAAGTATCGTTGACATATTTCAAATTGAAAATCTACTATAATATATAGAACTTAATGCCCAAAAGATACAAAGATAAAGATTAACATCTCATGCATGACAGATGAGAGTCTTCTTTTCATTTTCGATCATAAAAATAACATCCTTAAAATAATATAACAACGATCTAGTTTAAATGTCGTACTAATACTGACGATTTACTTGTGATAGCGCTTTTGGTTCCGACTAAAAACAATTCTAGAGAATGTATTCTAACCAAATTCAATTTAATTAAGAAGAAAACAGTTTTGAAATATATTGTACTTATAAAAATTTATCTCATAAATTTAGTCGATTTGAACGCGGTGATCAGTGTACAGATGGTTTGAACGTATCAAAATTCTCAGAATGTATTAAAACCGGCTCAATTTAATAGACTTAAAAACTGTTCACCCATTTTGATATATCAATTTTAAAAAAATTCGATGGCGAAGTGCACAATATATCGAGTGCAGTAGTTTTCTCGATATTTATCTTGTTGCTCTGCAATAGAAGATTTTCCTTAATAAATTAATTTCTATCAAAAATATCTCTTGATTTTCAGCAAGTTGAGTTGAAAATTTTACAAGATTGAATTTAACATTATATTTCTGGGATTTTAAAACTAAAACTAAAATTCTTTTAATTATAAAAATAAATTCGACATAATAGACGACCGAAGAATCTTCTTTTTCGGCAAGGAATTTAATAGACATAACACAATTTATTTGGATCAAATTTATAATCATTATTATTATCATCATCATCATCTTTCAATTCTATTCTATTCCCATTTGACTGTCAAAGATGTCTTATTCAATATCAATAAATAGATCAACCTTCAAATTTTAATCAATAATTTATTTATTCACTATTATTATGCTATAATTAACTTGTTATAAAACTGACATAGATCACCGAATAAGTTACGATGTCCTTTTGAATAGTAAGATCATCCTGTCCTATATTTAACTTAATCAAAAAAAAAACTCGTTCTCGATTCTATTTTTCAACTTTAATGATTAGCAATGAAATAGATTTTTTTATTTTTATGTGTATATATATTGTTGAGAAAAAAAAATAATAAACAAACAATATACACATCTATAAACTATAGACGAACAAATAATTATGAATTCACACAATTTAAGGCAATGAAAAAAATTGAAATATGTTGTTGTTGTTATTTTGTTTTTTGAAAGAAAGCACATAAACAACCACTATTAACATGAACATCAAAAACTAACGAGTGCAGACAAAAAAAAAAAATAATTTTTTTTTTCTTCTTTGCGACTATAAATTTCACACAGATTTGTGTGATGGAGAATTTAATCTATCAGACTAGAAACATCACTGTTGCAAAAAAAAAAAAAATAGAAATAGAGGAGAAGAAGAAGAAGAAAAAAAAAGGAAGAAACGTTTTATTTTGATAGACTGTATTTTTTTATGTTTTTATTATTCTAATCAGATTATCACAGTTTCCCCGATTTTGAATAATTATTTTCGAAATAAACGCCATAAACCATTTTTACGTTCTTTTCGTGGTGCCATTAACATAGGTACTTGATTTTTATGTGTTATTGATATAGTACATGGTGGTTGTAACCATGGTTCACCATCAATTTGCATCGGGAAAGTTTTGTGAGTTCTAAAAGAAGAAATAATTCGTATGAAATTTTGTTTAAAACATAATTCATTCATACCTGATAACAACTGATGAACATTGACCAAGTCGTTTTGCACTTGATCGAACACCAGCATAGATAGATCCAGCATGAATAGCTGACTGTACACCAACAACTTCAATTAATCTATCTCCAACATCTTTTTTTTTTTTTTTTTAGAGAAAAACAAAAATTTCTTTTATTATGATTATGTCTTAATATTTATATGATCTAGTTAATCTATCTTTTTTTTCTCGACATGGTAACACAACGTCACAACTACAAATTTATACTCAAAGATTTTGATTATTAGAAGTTTTACTGAAAATAAAACCAACATCATATTTAGCATCACCAGAAAAAATCCCCATTGAATAGCATATTCAATACTTAAAAGAAATTTTCAACAGATTGTAGTCGTTACATTCTTACGTTATTATTGATGATGAATACTTTGAAATATGCTTTCCCTGAGATCGAAATTTCACGATAATTTGCAATAAAAATTCAGATCGTTATAGTAAAATTAATAAGAAATATTGAGACTAGCAATACTCAGTGTTGTTAGCATATTTCAATTTTTATAGGCTTTTTTCAATCGAATTTTTCTAAGTTTTACTACAAAAATATCGTGCTCCATATGTCAAAAACAACATTTTCAGAGACAAGTCGACGAGTACTTAAGAACAATAATATTAAAAGCTTGGCGATGTCAGACACTCAGATACTAAAATATGGAATACACATGTGTTCTTCAGCCTCATTATACTAATGCAAAATATGTCCAGTGAAAAATCTGTAGCAGATTATAGTTATTTACCAAGGATAATTAATTATCATTGAAATGATTTGTTCTATTTATTTCTGCATTGTGCATCGAGATTATTTTTGCTTCTATTCTCTTGTTATTATTCATTTTTCTTAATTTACCATTATTCTTATTCTATTAATATTCATAATTTCTCAAAATCATAGTGCTATTTTGATTGTATAACGACTGCGAGGCAAATCCATGCGTGACTCTTCGTCATCAAATTTCAAAATATTGCTATCTTTTAAAAAAATATATTTACCTTGTAAAACAAATGTCATATCTGACGTTGAACTCGTGGAATATTCCCTTAAAAAATGATTTCGAATAAGGTTTTTTTTTGTTTTTAAAACACATACGAGTCTTTTCGGTGAAAATTTAATGGTGTTTTTCTTTTTTTATGTCGACCACCTTCACCCCATAATGAAGTACCACCATATATACTTGGAATATTTAATAATGCAATACCTTCTAAAGATGGTCCATTAGATAAATCAAGAGAAACTCCATCACACTAAAAATTTAGACAAAAAGAAAAAATATGTTTTTTTTTTTTTTCTATGATTTTATTTAAATGTTACCATAATGTCAATATCTTCATGTAAATTTTTACATGTAGATGAAAATGCTTCTGAAGTACCAAATTCTAAATACCATAATTTATTTTTCATTCTAAATTTTCAAATCAAGAACAAAAAAAAAAGAAAATTCACATAATTTTATTACAAAATAAAAGAAAAAAAAATTCATATCAATAAACCTGCTACTAAATTTTTCAGGATGTTTTTCACGCATTAAATGAAATCGATGAGCAATGGAAGCATCCTAATTAAATTTATATGGACATTTTTTTTTTTATTTTTTCGAATATTATATATATATACTTACAACACCAATAGAAAAATAATTATTAATTATATTATATGGAATATCATCACCTTTTTCTTCTGTATCTGTACGTGTACTAAATTCAATTTGCCATCGATCAAGCATAATCACCGGAGCTTGTGATACTTTTTTAAGTATTTTAGTTAAACTTTCATTTTCATAACCACCACCCCATGCTAAACATCGTGCTAAATCATTGCCTGTACCTAATGGTAAAACAGCTACTGGAGCTCGTCGACGAAGTGGAACTCGATCCATAACATCAAGTACCCAACCAACTAGAAATGAAATATTTATTCATTTACAAAAAAAAAAAAGAAAGAAGAATATTCTTTTTTTTTGATACCTGTTCCATCTCCACCACAGCAAAGAACACGAAAATCTTCAAGATCTTTAAAGAATTGTAATCTAAATAAAAAGTATACGATGTCAAAAATTTTTCAATACATTCTTAAATGCTCTATAATTAGTGTTGTTGTTTGTTTGTTTTTTTTTTGAGTATTTTCATATTCATTTAGAAAAAAACTTAAATCAACTACTTTAATTATAGAAGATACTTAAGATACATCTGGAACTGTCAAAAACATGTTTTCACAATATTTTTGATATATAACAAACATTTTAAAAGTTTCTTTTATCTTCAAAACATGTCAAAATATTGAGAAGAACATTTTCCAGATGTGTAAATAGCATTTTTAATCGTCTTCATGTATCTTTTACGATGAAAAAAGTTGGTTCCGATGTTTTATGAATGGACGTTAACATGCTAAAACAGGAACATCAATAAGAGCATTTGAATCTTTTTTCTTTTCTGAAATTCTTATCTATTTAGAATGTTGTAGTAATCAAAGGGTTACAAAATGAGCTAATATTACCTCTAATGAACATCAAAACACATTTTTTTGACAATAATCATCGTCTATTAGAAAAATCCAAGGCTCTTTACTGTTACAAACCGTCGATTGACTGCTGTTCTTCTTTTTGAATTCTTTTAACCCTTAGAAAGATGCAGTAGTAATGTAGGATTTTAATGATGAAGATGATCATGATCATAAAACATGTTTTGAAGCTCATTAAAAATAGTATTATCTTATTTCTAAGTCTTTTTTTGTTAGAGAATATCAAACAATGTTTTGTAGAATAGACACGATCTCCTT